AGCTATATCAACATCTCAACGGATAAGCATACAAACTGTATCAACATTTCAACAGATAAGCATATAAGCTATATCAACACTTCCATAGATAAGCATATGAGCTATATCAACACATTAACTGACAAGCATATGAGCTGTATCAGCGGAGTCCATCCTCTATCTCCTCCCAAACAACATCCGGTTTAGAGGTTCATTCCCTATCTTCCCCTAAACCGTGGAGTACATCTCCTATCTCCTCCCACACACACACAACGTATATACATTTAGCTCATATACACAATCAATCAATACATAACATTAATGTATTCTATTAACCGTCATACTCTATGACATATCCAATTGATTAGTTTTAGTTTGCCTAATCATCATGCATTGTCTACAATAATCAAAACTACCCTCCACCAGTAGTCCAAAGCAATTATTTCTAAACAGATAATAAAAGCTCCAACAGATAAAATATCAATGTTTTCAAAAGTAAGCGATTAATAAATTCAACTCGACCATTCTACAATATAATGAGCCAATTTCATTATTTCCAACTCAATTCCAAATAACAACAATTTTTCCAAATTAACTATACCAATTAATTTATACAACAGATTAGGATTTTTTACCCCATTTTTCAATATTGACCCAATGGTCTATATATCAATAACCAACAACAATTTCGTTATTTTGAAACCCAAAATACACATTTTAGAATCAAAATAGCAAAACCCCCTTTCAACATTTTCAAACCCTAACTTTCCAAAATCAACCATTTAACAAAATGTCCAAATATCTAGGTTAAAACCCATAGTAGTGAGTAGGAATCCCTACCTCAAATGATGGAACCCAACGAAGAAGATAAAGGAAACGAAAATGCTCCAAATCCTGAGATTCTTAGATCAAAAGATAGCCCTCGACGATCAACACCCTTTTTGTAAAGGCCAAAGGAGAGGAGAACACCCTAGCTAGATCAAACCCTAGAGAGAAGGCAAGGTTCTAGAGAGAGAAGCTCTCAAATGGCGTTTTGGAGAAGTAAGAGAGAGTGGAAGTGTAGAAAATGATTCAAAAATGCCCAACTGCCCTCTATTATACGACATTCCCGCTCGAGCGAAAAACATAATGCTCGAGCGTCAGGAACAAAAACTAGATACGCTCGAGCGCAAGAAGGCCCGCTCGAGCGCCAAGCACAAGAATAAAGTATATCCGCTCGAGCGCGAAAACTAGTCCGTTTGAGCGTAGATTTCCCCCTCCCAGAACTTACACAGACAAAGCACTACCCGCTCGAGTGTAGGAAATCCGCTCGAGCGCAGAAATCACACCTGCAGAAGTTTTGCAGGGCACAAAAATACTAGGAGTGCGCAATCTCCGCTCGAGCGCCAGATAACCCGCTCGAGCGGAATAACCAAAAACCTGGCAACAAGGATTTACACCAAGGCTCGACCTACCTGCTCGAAACAAGCCCAACACATCCTAAAACTCAAACATAAAGAATTAAAGGATGACAACAAGGTATACAACCACCAACTTCACGGAATCAAAGTCCGGAATACAACAAATACAGAAAGGAAAAATCGGGATCGCTATAAGTAATAAGTAAAGTCTAATGAAATAACAAGCAGAAGCTCATTAATAGTAAGTACGGTTTAATTGAATAGTAAATAAACTCTAATGAAGTAATAAGTAGAAACTCATTAAGTAATAAGTGGAATCTAGTGAATTAGTGAGTAGAAGCTCATTGAGTGGTACGTGGAGTTTAATTGAGTAATAAGTCAAGTTTGATTGAGCAGTAAGCGAAGTTTCATTGAGTAGTAAGTCAAGTTTAATTGAGTAGTTTGTGAAGTCTAGTTGATTAGTAATTAAGATTTAATTGAATAGTAAGTCAAGTCTGATTAAGTAGTAAGTGAAGTCTCAGTGAGTAAGATACATGAAAACTATTTTGTAATTTTTATAAATTCAGATATTTTAAAAATATCTAATATATCCAAAAAATTTATTTAATAATTTGATGGAGTAATAAGTGGACTCTTATTAAGTGAAAAGCTATTGTTTTTTTTTTTTTTGATAAGCAAAAGAGAACTTTATTGATGAAGAAAGCAGAACAAGCATAAAACTTACATCAATAAAGAGGGAAGTGCAAAAGCATCACCGCTGGCCTTAACAATCCAAATTAGGTTGGCACCGCTAAAGAAGCAATATCATCTGCTAGCACTTGACCCAAAATTGGCGAGAAACCAATCCAAAGAAAGCAAGAGAAAGGGAAAAGAAAATTAAAAAACCAGGCCAGCCACCTATACATTGTCTAATCAGAAGCATAAGCATGATCTACCACTATAGCAACATGATACAATCCACACAGCAGCAGCCGTAGCAGAACATGATCATGTGAATAATAGTAGGATTATGTTTAAACAATCATGTAAAATACTTTTATTTATAAAATGACAGCACATTGCAACCCCAAGGGGGTTTGGTTTAGTGGGTGAAGAAGACAATCAAAAAACTTACCACAAAAGAGATCGCAAGTTCGAACCCCACGAAGGCCAAACATTCGTAACCTTGGGACCGCTGGAGGTTTGCCCAACCGTTAACTTTAGGGCCCTAGGATTAGTTGATGTGCGCGTAAATTGACTTGAACACCCGGATCTTAAAAAAAATGATAGCACGTTACTTAATGTTTGAGTAAGTTTATAAGTAATATTTTGCGATTATATTGTAAAATTACTTCTTTAGTTTGATTTGGTTTTAAGATTTTTATAATTTTTTTTAACTAAAATTTTTAGAGTTTAATTCTAAATTTCATAAATCTATAGGTAAACATTTGATCATTGATTTATCAAACAAACTAAATTGAATCATGCTCACCCCTAATAAAGAAGTTTACTACTTAATATGACTTTACTTATCATTTGTTGTGAGTGAATTTGCTACTAAATACAATTAATCTTATAAGTTTGTTATAATTAGACTGATTTCTCTTTTAATAAAATTAAAACAATCATAATTAATGCAAATAATATCTAAATACAGGGTCATTTTACAATACACGTCCTTTTTGGAGCATGTACCATATTCAAGTGATGACACAAATGTCATAATTAAATTACGTTAAATTATAACAAAAATAAAATGTAATGGATTATAATCAAATATCACTTCAGATATAGGGTTGTTTTGGGAAGATAGTAAAAAGTGACTTTTTTGCTTTTAACTAAACTTTTTGGGAGTGATTTGGGAAGTTGGTAAAAAGTTACTTTTTTTTTTAAGTTAATATTTATTTATGGTGTCACATCACACCAAAATGACTAAAATAACCTCAAAACTTAAAAAAATTACATTTGACCCAAATCCATAAGATGTTAATATTGAGGGTACTTATGTAATTTCTTAACCTACTTTTTCTACTTGCCAAATGAGCTGAAAAACGCAACTCTGCGTTTTGCTCCAAAACGCCAACCTAGCGTTTTCAGCCTTTCCCAAAAGAGCCCAAAATGTAACATCCAACCCATAATCATTTCATTTTTTCTCTTAAAAAGGTCAAAAAAGTCAAAAAAATTATCTCAAACGAGATTTTTGAACTACAAATTAATAGATTGATATATTATTGTAATTAATAGATTTTGGATTTCCTCTAAAACCCTTTTGCGAATTATAAAATGAAAAATGCTTGGTCACTCGAATTTGTGTGGTCCGAATGACTCGAATATATCAAAAAAATGGCATTTTAACCTCAAAACGATTTTACCGGTGACTCCCGGTGACCCATACATGTTGGATGAAAATACCACTTTAAAGTATGGTACACAAAAACTATTTTTGTGCACGGAAAATAAGATAAATGGCCTTTTTAGAAGATCTCCGTAATTCTTAAAGTGATTTATATCATTTATGATGTGTGAAGTCTAGTTATATATGTTTGAAATTCACATCATAAGTGATGTGGATTACATTAGAAATTGTGAAAATCCTCCAAAATAAAGTCTCTATCATTGTCCTTTTGTGTACCCCTCTCTCACACTTACAATCCAATTTTTATAATTAAAAAGAATTTACTTTATCCTTTTCATAAAATATATGTTACTTTTATTATAGAATTTTAATTTTTATAAAATTAATTCCATTGAAAAAGATATCAACGATACCTTTAAAATGAAACTAACATTAAATATATTTAATAAAAAATAATAACTCCATAAAACATTTAATTATAAATATATATATATATATATAGATGTTTAAAATATAAAAAAAAATTGAAAAAAATGTGTTTTTCTTTCATTTTATTAACCAAACTAGTTTTCAATTTTTTGAATAAAAAAATAAAAAAGAAATTTAAGAGTAAATCAACTATGGCCCAATGCAAATGTTATTTTAAATTTGTTTTATGGATAACTAGTGTTTATTTATTTTTATTTTTTATTTATAAATTTTAGATAGATTGTTCTACGCTTAGATAGACCAGAAAAGTAAAAACATTTCACACCAATTTTAAAAATAAAATCACTAAAAACAAAAAACAAACAAAAATTGAAAAAAAAATGTGACTTTCTTTATTGGTTACCAAACAATGGGTAAGTGTAATTTAAGCCCCCTTTTCTTTCTTTCTTTTTATAAAAATGATAAAATTCCACAGTTCATCTATGACACTGTATTTTATCTAGTAGTTTTATAATCAGAATGGCACATTAAGAGCATCTCCATTAATTGAATAGGTAAAAAGAGCTAGTCATTGCTATATTTTAAGAATACATAGTGTTAAAATATTTTACTGTAGCAATGTTGCTCCAATGATAGAAGGTAAAAATTTTCAAATTTTCTTACAAAATGTCAAGTCAAAATGTTATATGTCAATCTCTACAAGAAAAATATAGATACAAAGATTTTAACTATAAGTAAACTTTGTGCTATATTTGACACAATATTTACCTATAGATAATATATAGCAAGCCATATCCCTTGTCATTGGAGTGAAAATTTAGAAGTTTAAAGCAAAATATAGCAATAGTAAACCATATAAGACACCATTCAAGAAGCTCTAAGTTGTTTATTATGCATTACTAGAAATTAATAACAGACCTGACTCCAAGCAAAGGTGCAGACACGCTACAGTTTTGCTGCCAAGTCCCAACAACAGGAAAGTGAAACAAACCATGAGGAAGAACACCTATTTTATTTATTTATTTATTCAACTCATAACTTAAAAGTTGAAGCACCAGATGTTTCAACCCAAAGAAAACATGATCAACGAGAACTAACATCACCTGAAGTGCTCAAGTGAGTCTTTGGTTTGCAAAGCCATAAAGCTTCCCTGCAAATGCCAACCAACAAAATGGGACTTGATATGAAGAACAGCGCCAAAGCTCCGTTGGGCATGATTTCATTTAATTGGATCATGTACACAGCAAATAGACCCAAAATTGTGCTATGAGACAACGGCTTCAGTGGGAATTCAAGCAGAAGGAATGCACTAACACCCATTGATGCAATGAACACCAGGGAATTGCACCAGATGATCAAGCTACGCATGATTGAATGTTGTTCATAGCCCTCTTTGGAAGTGCTGCCACGGAAGTGAAAAGGTACTTGCAAGGTTGTTGCTGCGATCAGTGCGGCTATCAGTAGTAAACCACATTTGAATCGAACAGAGGGCTCAACCATGCTTCTATTGGATGAGCAATTGAGCAACCCTCTATGACTATGATCATCATTGGGCTCGATTATTTGTATGGTAAAATCCCTTGAGCTGTTGGACAACCCTCTAGGATTACGATTATCATTGCGCTTGATTTTTTCTTCGGTCAAATCCCTTGAGCCGTTATCATCATTGAGCTCGATTATTTGCATGGTAAAATCCCTTAAGCCATTGGACAACCCTCTATGACTATAATCATCATTGGGCTCGATTATTTGCATGGTCAAATCCCTTGAGCCGTTGGACAACCTTTTCTGACTATAATCATCAGTGTGTTTGATTTTGTGTTTGGTTAAATCCCAGGATATCATAGCTCTAGGTTCCCAACGAATCCCGAGAAAACTTAAATAAGATAGGTCATAAGAGATATCCATAGCAACAGAACCACCAGAGTTCAAGGGAAGAAATACTCTTAAAGCCTGCAATTACATTTAAGTGTGAGTTCCTCAGTTTGTAGAAGCACATACTATAATATGAGAAACAACAAACATGAAAATGATGGAATACGCAGACTGTCTAATTTGTTTTCAATTTTTCCACTGTTTCTAAGATTGTTTAATTTGACGGAAAATGTTTTTATTTGAAACAATTTTTTTTTTCATGTTTTATAGGAAAAACTTTATCAATCTTATGAATTTCACATGCTTGGATGATACCTTAAAACAAATTCAGGGGAAAAAAAAAAAAACTCAAATAATTGGTTAAAAAATACAAAAAAAAAAAAAAAAAAAAAAAAAAAAAAAAAAAAAAAAAAAAATCGAAGAGAACTTCCCAAGAACCTGTAAAGCCAGAAACATTAAGTAAATTACAGTTACCTTCCCTGAGATTTCTGACAATTACAAGATTCTCCCCTATAGTTTCAATAATTACAAAAATCTCTCTTACTTTATATTAAATTATCACTTTATTTCTCACAATTTTTTTTTTTTTGCATTTCCTTGACTTTGTATTTTTTTTCCCACTATAAGTTTTTGAACTTTTATAAGTTTAAAATAAATAAATAAATAAAAAATCAACAATTAAGGAAATTAAGAAAGAATATCTATGTTTCTTATTTGAATTAATTTTGAGATTTAATTTAATAAAAATAATTTAAATGGAAGAAACAAAGATGGAGATATAGATTTTAGATGTAATAAATAACAAATTATTTGAGTATTTTATTATTTTCAAATAATTGATTTCTTTAAGTACAATTCTATTTTAATTAGATGTAAGAAATGATAATTTTAAATAGGTTATTATTCTCAAATAATTTATTTATCTTTCATTCCCTATCATCTAATTTTAATTTATAGTAATGTGATTAGATATTTTTTTACTTTTATATTTATTTTTAAAAATTTTATTATCAAGGAGAGAAATATTGCCTCATTTTTTTTTTAATATCCACTAGAATTTGAAAAATTCAAAGATGAAAATTAAAATTTGAGAATAATATAGGATTTTGAAAAGATGAAAATAATATATTTTTTAATATATTTATTAGGTAACATTTGGTAATTTTTATTAGTCAATTTTTTTATTATAAATATGAAATGTTATTATGTTTATTTTTCTTTAAAAAAATTTAATACACAAATATGTTTACAAAAAAAAAAAAAAAAAAAAAATTTCATGTTTCGTAAGTTGCTATGGTATGGAGTGATGGTACCTAACATTGATGAAAGAGAAAAAATGATGAAAAAATTGAGAAAAAAAAGCATAGTGAAGAGAACAAATAATAATAATAATAATAATAATAAATTATATGGTATTGCTATTTGCTGTAATGACACTATGAAAAAATGAATGAGGGAATAAATAGAAAGAAAAATAAAAAAATAAAATAAATAAAATGGAAAGAGAGGGATAATTTCTTAAATATGTATTTTTCATACGGGGAAAAAAAAATCAAATACATATATGTATTTTTAAATTTTTATTCAAACTCTAATTTCTCAAAATAGTTATTCATAAAATTGGTGGTCTTTTTAAAAAATAAAACATCTTTTTTATATTTTGTTTTGTAATTTTCAAATAAAGGATTATATTTAATCTAGTATAAGGTTTGATAGTGACCAATTTATTAACTTTTTTTTTTTTTAGATAAGGTAATGTTTGGTTTAGAAATTTTTTTTAAAAAAATATTGTATAGAATTTAATTATTTTGTTCAACATTATTAAAATAATCTATGGATCTTTATTAATTTTTTGTAAAATCTCAAGGGAAGTGAGTAAAATTTACTATTTGAATATATAAGGATAATCTTATAATTTTTTACTTAGAATACATGATATCGGCATGACGTCAGCATATTATGTTAAATGAATAAAAGATTAACGGTAGAGAAATCTTACTAACAGTTTTAAAAGTAAATGAGATTTTAGTAATTATTGAAACTATAGAAAAAATCTCAGTAATTGTCGGTTAAAAAGCTCAGGCCCAGAAACATTTTATTTCAATTCAAAAGTATCATAAATTCAATCCTATTAAACAAAAAATAAAAAATTCTGTGTAACACAACAAAATCCTAGTAGATGTAGATGTGCCATTGACACATTTTATTGAATACTTGATGGACAAGAAAAACACAAGTCGCGCTTGCACCTTCCAATTGTACTGAAGCTCAAGAAAATAGGGTTCAGTTCAGTGAGTGTGTGAGATTCATAAATATGCATGCAGATATCAGAGTAATTATAATATATTATACTAAGGTCTCGTTTGGTAAGTGATTTTTTTAGTAAAAAAGTTATTAAAAAAATTAAAAAGCTAACAACTCATATTAAAAAGTCAAAGATTCATTTTTCTCTCTACTTTTTACATATCTTTTCGTAAAAAGTCAAAAAATCATCCCAAACACACTAGATTTTTTTATATCACAATTGAACCAAACAGCAAAAAGTTACTAAAAAAATCTATTCCCAAACGAGGGACTAAGTATGTCTAAAAAATATCTAGATAGAACTAACTCTAACTGGTCTATAAAGAAGAGAAGAGAAGATAAGAGAAGAGAACATACATAATAAGATAGAAATTAATTACCGGGATGTTTGTATAATGTTGTTTGGCTGAAGTTGAAGTTTTATGATCCTTGAAATCAAGTACATGCAGGAAGCGAGGCCTTTCTCCGATAACCCATTTTAACAAGCGGCGGAGAACAACGTCGATCTGGTTATGCTTGACGGCCACGTGAAGACAAGTCTCCCTTGTTTTTTCAGCAGACTCAGGGCAATATTTAAGAATCAGATTTATTTTTACATCAATTTCGCCACTCTCCGCAGCAATATGGAGACCCCTTCCAATCAACTTCTCCACCCGTTGCGAATCCCCCTTCTTGCAAGCCACCTGCAAATTACTTATAATTCGCAATTCATCAATCCCTTCAAAGTACCCCAAATATGACCACTCTTCTATACTTGACTCCAACTTAATCAAATCATTCATCATCCATCTCTCGTCGAAACAAAAACCAGATTCATCATCCATCTTCCAGTTCATCAGGCGAAACCCTAAGGAACAATTCCACAGACAAGGACTTTTCCTAGTAGAGATCCCTCTCTTTTAACTCGGGTGAAATCATATATATCATATCATCTATATTTATAGCCCGGTTTGTTTTGGGAGATTGAGATAGGAATGAGATCGAGATGAAGGTAGTTGGGTTTGTTTATGAGATTTGAGAGGAATTTATAATCCCATGAGATTATAATGGAATTTGGCGTTCGAATTGAGACGGGAGAGATAGAGAAATTATTAAAAAAATTATTTAGTTAAAAAAAATTTCGCTCATACAAAAAATTAAAAATTTCATTTTATTTAATTTATTTTTTTTATGTATTTTCTCGTTGTTGTTGTTTTTTTTTTTTTTTTTTTTTTTTTTTTTTGGGGGGGTATATTACGTTTGGACAACAATTTTTTAATTGGATTTTATTTGCTTTTCCATGGTAATCCATGTTTTCTGCATTATTGATAAATCTCATTTAGAAGTGTTTTAATTCAAGAAGTTTATGAAGGAATTTTTTAACCCATTTAGTATGTATAGTTTTATTTCATAAAGTCATTTTTCTTGATTTACACTATTTTCTTGGACACTTATGCCCTTATATTTAATTTTGATACCCTATTTTTTGAACGGTTAGCAATTTTATGATGTGAACATTTATATTTTAAAATTCACATTGGTAGGAATGTAAAATTGGCCCGTGGGCGGCCTGAAACTAGCCCGCGAGCCGGGGGGCCCGACCCGTTGTCAATGTGAATATTCACATTGACATGTTAACATTCACATTAATAGGAGTGTAAAATTAGTCCACGTCTCGTGGCGGCGCGAAACCCGCCCGCGGCCCATGAGTGGCCCGGGGTGAGCCCGTTCCGGCCCGTTGACAATGTGAATATTTACATTGACATGTTAACATTTACATTGATAAGAGTATAAAATTGGCCTGCGACCCATGGATGGCCAAAAGCCCGCCCGCTGCATGGGGCAGGCCTGGCCCGGCCCGGCCCGTTGACAATGTGAATATTCACATTGACATGTTAACATTCACATTGATAGGAGTGTAAAATTAGCCCGCGCCTTGTGGCTGCCCGAAACTCGCCTACGGTCCATGGGCGGCCCTGGGCGGGCCCAGCTCGGCTTATTGACAATGTTAATATTCATATTGACATGTTAACATTCACATTGATATGAGTATAAAATTGGCCAGCGGCCTAGGGCGGGCCTGACCCGGCCCGTTGACAATGTGTATATTCACATTGATAAGAGTGTAAAATTAACCCACAGCCCGTGGGCGACCCGAAGCCCGACCGCAGCCTGAGGCGGGCTTGGCCCGACCCGTGACAATGTGAATATTCACATTGACATGTTAACATTAACATTAACATTAACATTGATAGGAGTGTAAAATTTGTCCGTTGCCCGAAGGTTGCCCGCGGCCCAAGGTAGGCCCGGCCTGGCCTGTTGACAATGTGTATATTCACATTGACATGTTAAAATGCACATTGATAGGAATGTAGAATTGGCCCGTGGTCCGTGGGCTGCCCGAAGCCCGCCTACAGCACGGGGTAGGCTCGTTTTGGTCCGGGCCCGAGCATATCTGAGACCCTAAGTTAGGGCGTAGGTCATCACTTTGAAACTTGGCCCCGACCCATCGGCCCGCTTAAGGCCCATTCAAGGCTCGGTCCGAGACCTAGCCCGCCCGAGCTGTAATGTATTTTTTTGTGAAAAATAATAAAATTTTGGTAGAAAAAATTAAAAAGAATTAAAAAAAATGACCAGGCCCATCCAAGCCCCGACCTAAGGTCGAGGCTAGGCCCAGGCCCACCGGTCCGACCCGAGGCTCCATCCATCGGCCCGTCCAAAGCCCGAATACCCTTGTGTCAGGGCTAGCGCCTAGGCCTAATTTTTTGGCCCGTGGGACCGACTCGGCCGGGCCTGGGAAAGGCTCATTTGGGCCCAGGCTCGAGCCTAGTCCGAGACCCTAGGCTAGGGCCTAGGCCATCACTTTGAAGCCCGGCCCGGCCCATCGGCCCGGTTAAGGCCCATTCAAGGCTCGGTCCGAGCCCGGCCCGCGCCAAGGCCTAATGTCTTTTTTTGTGGAAAATAATAAAATTTTGGTAGAAAAAATTAAAAAGAATTAAAAAAAAATGGTCAGGCTTGCCCCGAGCCGGCCACGGGCCGTGGGCGGGTTTCGGGCAGCCACGAGCCACGGGCTAATTTTATATTCTTATCAATGTGAATGTTAACATGTGAATGTGAATATTCACATTGTCAACGGGCCGAGCCGGGCCCGCTTTGGGCCGCTGGCCAATTTTATACTCTTATTAATGTGAATGTTAACATGTCAATGTGAATATTCACATTGTCAGCAGGCCGGGCCGGGCCCACCCCGGGCCGCCTACGGGGCCGTGGGCTAGTTTCGAGCAGCCATGAGGCGCGGACTAATTTTACACTCCTATCAATGTGAATGTTAACATGTCAATGTGAATATTCACATTGTCAACGGACCGGGCCGAGCTGGGCCCGCCCCGGGCTGTGGGCGGGCTTTTGGCCGTCCATGGGTCGCGGGCCAATTTTATTTTCTTATCAATGTGAATGTTAACATGTCAATGTGAATATTCACATTGTCAACGGGTCGAACCGAGCCCGCCCCGGGCCTTCCATGGCCGCGGATGGGTTTTCGCGCCGCCACGGGACGCGGGCCAATTTACACTCTTATTAATGTGGATGTTAACATGTCATTGTGAATATTCACATTGTCAATGGGCCGGGCCGGGCCTGCCCCCGGCCCGACTCGAATTTTTTCGAGCACCCACGAGGATTGACATGGGCCGGACCCCTATACATTAACGATATGAACATTCACATTAACGGTGTGAACATTCACATTAGGGGTATTTTGGTAATTATGTCACCCATAGGACTTATTGAAACATAAGAAAATAATGTGAACTAAATGGAACATAAGTAGAGGAAAAGGGTATTTTGGTCTTCTTATCTCAAATAGGACCTAATGGAATAGGCAAAAAGAATATGGATTGGATGGAATAAAACTCTTAGAAAGTGGATTTATCAAAAAAGCTCCCTTATTTTTTTAGTTTGGCACCTTACTTATTTAGCATATATATTGTCTATTTATTTTTTTAGAGTCACATCGATTCTCTATTTTTTCAAATATTTTTTTTTCTGAAAAGTCAAAAAAATATTAAAATAACATATTTCCAAACCGCATCCACATGTTGTAAGACCTTTTTCTTTTTTTTTTCTTTTTTTTAAGGTATTGTTGGTCATATGGCTGCTAATGTTTAGAAATCAACATGTCGATGATCTTATTTATAATTTTTGACTAAGTTGATTGGACTTTTCTTAGGTGTGCCTTGCATATTGTATGCAAGGCATTTACACCATTTCTATTTTGGATTTACACCTTTTATGTATTGGGTTATACGACATTTTTTGAAAGTTTACACATTGGTGACTTGTTCAACGGGTCCTTTGCAGGTAAATTAATTAAATAATATAATATATTAATAATTTATCCTAAAAGGTGTAAACTTTCACAAAATGGTGCAAGTGTTTTGATGAAAAGGTATAAACTTTCAGAAATGGGTGTAAACTTTCACAAAATAGTGTAAGGAATAAACTTTCAGGAAAAGATGTAAACCTTCAGAAAATGGTGCAAGTGTTTTGACGAAATGGGTGTAAACTTTCAGAAATGAGTGTAAACTTTCACAAAATGGTGTGAGTATTTTGACGAAAATGTATAAGTTTAGAAAAATTTTCAGAAAAGGTGTAATGTTTCAGAAAAGTGTAAAATTTAGTTTAGTGTAAATTTTATCGACAAATAACAGTTTAGTCGCTAAAGGTTTGAAATTTTATTACCATCGGCCCCCCTCTTTTCTGTTTCCCACCGACACTTTCTCTGTTCTCTCTCACATGCACACAGAATAGTCACCACCAATCCTGACCCCCACTGACCACCCAAGCGTCGGTGGCCTCCGGTGCTCACTGTCGTCTGACATCGCCACCTCCACAGCCACCGCCACTGCCGCTGTCACAAATCAAAGGTTTTTTTCTCTCTCGCTATCGATCTTGGTCTTTCTCTGTCGATGTCGGCCTATTCTCCGTCGATGTCGGTCTCTCTCTATCGATCCCTGTCTATCTCGGTCTGTCTCCAGCGATCTTGGTCTGTCTGTGTCCATGTCGGTTTCTTCTCTGTCGATTTCGGTCCCTCTCTGTCGATCTCGGTCTGGAAGTCTCTGTCAATCACTGTCCATCTAGGTCTCTATGTCTGTCGATCTCAGTCTATCTCTCTCTCTCTCTCTCTGTCCCTTGCTCTATATTAAAAACGGTTCTCTTTTACATTGACATACTTGGTTGGATTTGGACTTGGAGTCGCTATTCCAAGTCCTCCCAAACTCGTCTTCTCTGAAACGGACTTCTACTGAGAGAAAGACCAAGCCCTTCGAAACGCCCTTCTCTCTCACATTGCCATTATTAGAACAAGACAAATACAGTTTGATTAGATTTTAGAAACTTACACGTTTTATGAAAAAACGGAACTTACACATTTTGCGAAGTTACTTACATCTCTTATGAAAACACTTACACTATTTGTGGAAGGTTACACATTTGTGAAATAATTTATTTTGTAAAATTTACACATTTTCGTTGAAATACTTACATCTTTTGTGAGAAGTTACTACTTTTGTAAAGAATATTATTAAAAAAATTTACACATTTTATTAGAACTTACACCTTTTCCGAGAACAGAACTTACAATTTTTGTCAAATAACTTACATCTTGTGTGAAAAAATTTACACCTATGGAAAATATGTTTTCATAAAGTTTACACATTTTGTTAAAAACTTACATGTTTTCTAAAAGTTTACACCTTTTAGTGGAAATAATTACACCTTTTATGAGAAGTTACTTCGTTTGTTAAATATTTTTTTTCTAGAAAATTTACACCTTTCTATTAGAACTTACACCTTTTGTGACATAACTTACATATTTTATGAAAATGTTTACACCTTTTATGGAAATCTGAATTATATTTTCCATAAAATTTACACCTTTAATGGGAAGTTACACCTTTTTGTGAAAAAAAAACTTACACCATTTGTGACATAACTTCCATCTTTTGTGAAACCACATACAAGTTTTTGAAAATATACACCTTTCATGGAA